CTCCCAGGCACTTGAGGCAGAGGACAAGCGGGTGAAACACATAGATGCAATAATGCAGCTGGATGAGAGGAAGAGGCCGTACAGCAGCTTGCACGAAGTAAAGGCGCCAACTGAGGAGGAGATGGAGGCCTTCCGCATGAAACGCTGCCGGGCAGACGATCCAATGGCTCCCTTCCTGGGAAAGTAACCTCTTCTTCTCCATCCCTGCCGGCTCCCCTAAACTCTCCCCAAGGACTGTAGACACTGCCAGAGCTGCTGCTCGGTGGAAACAACGTCTCAGACTCATAAAACTCAACTTTTATCTCGTTAACTTGCAGCAGGAGCTTTCTGTTGCGTTACGAACGTAACAGAAAATGTGTACAGTGTTTTTGTTCATTTCATTTTGAAAACTTTTTGTTTTTGATGCCACATATTGATAGACTGTAGGGCAATAATGATGAGTGCTTTTGTTTGTACTTAATCAAGTTCCACAGGATAAAAGATTTGGAAGCCATCCTCAGTCTTAACAGTAATTTGAGGAACATAACGACTGTTAGTGGGATTAATGCTTTGTTTTTATAATAAAATATATATTTGTTTGAATTCTTTGTGTTGTGTTGGTTTTTATTTAAATATATTATAGATTAATATCACTTAATCATCATTTGTGTGTTTGTGCCAAAAGGCTTAAAACCAACTATTTGAACTTGTGTTAAATTAGCAGGTATGAAATTATGCTAATTTCTTCAGTGGCCATTAATGATGGATAGGGAAGTGTATGACATGTATTAATAGTAACAGATTGAATAACATTTTTCTCATAGGTTCTAACAAGTTCTCTCTTGCTGCAATTACTTTATTATTGCTATCATAACTTATTAGACTAGATCTCTGCTGCAGTGGATCAATAAACATGCTGTGCTTCCTAAATTGCTTAATAAATGGTGGGATTGGATGCAAATCTAGCTGGTAACACATGCTGTGTTTTATTTTTATATATATTTTTTTTTTTCCTGAAACAATTTAAATTTTCCAACTTATTTTCATTATTTGACAATCTACGCTACAGTATGTGCAGGTCAGAGTTTGTTTTGGGATCACATTTGTTTTGCTAATAGTTTCTCATAGAAACCTGCAACACAACAACTGGTTATGTATTTTCTGTTCACATGGTTCCAGTTAAAGGTGAATACATTAGATTTCTGAACACAAAGCACTGCCTCACCCAGCAGCTGTAACATTTTTATTGGTCTCTCGGCTATTGGCTGTGCATCACAGCGATAAACACGAACACATCTGGTACTATTCATTGTGGATTTTATACACTTCTGCAAACCACCTCGTTGTGCTGTTTGATTTTGCATTAAGTTGTTACTTTATCACGAGTTATAAAACATGTCTTTGTTATATATGTCTTATCATGTCTGCTGTATAATATCCTGTTTTCCCACAGTGTGAGTGTGTGAGAATGTGATTCGTCACCACTTCAGCTGTGCAATACTGTTGCACTGACTTGAATTCAGTGACATCATGGTGAAAGTATTTTTTGGCAGTGTAAACAGGGCGGATGTTATGGGCTATGATTCACTGGGCTGCATATTGCTCTGCAGCGCTTCACTTGAAGAATGATATCTCACCCGATTATTGGAAAATCATGTAGGAAAGTTTGCGCACTCTTGTGCAGAAAAAGGACTTGGATAGAGCTGAAAAATGCCCATGGGTCATAATTCCTCAACTGGTGAGTCCTCTCTCTCTGTGTTCTTTGAGATGGCTGATACACTCCCTTTGCAGAACATGCTGTAAGCGGCATTCTGTGCTTCGATTTGTGCATAATTGATGTGTCATATTTCTCATTAATCACTGAGTCATAGCATGAAACCAACCACACCATTCATGTAATAACTGTTTACATGTTTTTCATTTGATTCTAGCTGCAGATAGTGTGCACATACTCCACTCTCCCTTTCAGACTCATTTAACTTTAGGTTTTATGTGTTTTGTTTGAAGACATTTGAATCACCTGGTTGTGTCTTAATCACAAAACTAATACAAATGTTCAGTGAACAATTATTTTTCCCTCTCTTCTTGTGACTCCACAGTGACCATCATGCTCCAAGTATGTGTGATGTTCTGTTTGCTGCCAGTTGTCTTCTCACAGTCAACTAATGCCTCACCACGAAGAGGTCACAACATCACCATCCACTCTTCCCAGCTGGTCTGCAGTCTGCCAGGCCCAGCGGGGCCTGCGGGGAACCCTGGAGCCCCTGGATCACCAGGAACCATGGGCCCCATGGGGCCTCCGGGGAAGGACGGCCCCGACGGGAAGGATGGAGAGAAGGGTGAAAAGGGAGATGAAGGTACGCTCTATATCTATGATTTATATATCTGTCAAGTCTATTTAGATTTCTTTTATTGCAGTCTTAAGGATGTCTAACAGGGAATTTACCTCTCTAGTGTCTGACTGACCCCAAATATAAGTAACAGCACAATATAGGATATATTACATCCATACATACTGTACATTTCTTTGTCTGCAATTGAGTTTTTGGTCAACAAAACAAAAACTAAAGAATATTCTTTAAGGCCTAGCCCATATAACAAATAAAACTCAAAATATTAATAGTAGCAGTACTTTATGGTGATTAATATTCTGGGCTTATATTAGATATTTTTGCTTCAAATGTTATTATTATTTTTTACATATACAGCAGTGGGGTCTTTGGGACCCCCAAAATAAGGAAGTACGGCAAATGTCTGCAAAACAAAGGGTTAATGCATGTTAACGTGATACAAACAGGCTCCTTCCAGAGCCTTACCGATATATCAGTTGGCAAATATTATTGGCCCATATAGGTATCGTATTGGTATCAGTGTTTATGTTATCCAATATGCAACAACAAGAAAACTGAACAAAATGCTTTTGGTAATATATTGGTGTCACAGCAAAGTTTATCCAGTAGAGTGCGCTGTGGTTTACAATACTGTGGCAAACAGCATAGAGTAAGAGAGAAGAAGCAGCTCTCAGCAAGACATTGGTTGACAAATTACACAACATATTAAAGAATGTTTAACTTTAATATTTTTTAATAAAGTTATTTGCTTAAGAAAGCAGCCTTCTGAGGGGCTGTTTTCATTCAAGCTCAAAAATTCCCTATGTTGGATGGAACATCAGTAATCTGTGAATGTTTCCCCTCTAAAATCGTTATCAGTATTAGTCACAATGATCCCATATCAGTCGGTCTCTTTCCTTCAGGGCAAATGATTAACTGTCAGGTATAAAGTTGGATTGAGGAGCTACGATAGGTCTTATAATTTTGAATCTGTGGTCAGGTGATCCAGGGAGGACTGGGAACCAAGGCAAGCCAGGTGTGAAAGGGCGGGAAGGTGTCATCGGCAGGGCTGGACCTCGAGGACTGAAGGGGCCACGAGGAACACCAGGGGTAGCTGGAAAACGAGGACAAAAAGGTGAACTGGGTGACGTGGGCCAGCAAGGAGCTCCTGGAGGCTGCAACTGTGGCAGTACAGCCCGGTCAGCCTTCTCTGTGGCGGTGACAAAGAGTTACCCTAAAGAACGACTGCCCATCCGCTTCAGCAGGATCCTACTGAACGAGGGGAATCACTATAATGCCAGCAGTGGGAAGTTTGTCTGCGTCATCCCCGGTGTCTATTATTTCACCTATGATATCACTCTGGCAAATAAGCACCTGGCCATTGGGCTAGTCCACAATGGACAGTACAAGATCAAGACATTTGATGCAAATACAGGAAACCATGACGTGGCGTCTGGTTCTACTGTTCTCCACCTGAAGCAGTCAGACCAGGTCTGGCTGCAGATCTTCTACTCCGAGCAGAACGGACTCTTCTTTGACCCTTTCTGGACAGACAGCACCTTCACTGGCTTTCTTATCTACGCTGACCAGGACTTTCTCAATGAGGCTGATAGGAAAGCTAATGCTCAGGATGACAGTTAATACTCTGAAATATATTTGTTATGTTTTTTTAATAATTGGCTTAATTTCATATCAAAGTATGATAGCAGACATTTGAAGCTCCACAATGGTTGGCCTCGGTATGTTGTTTATCATGTTCTGACACCAGGGGGCGCACAGAAAAAAGTCAACCACAGTTGAGGGACTTGTTTAAGTCTGTGTGTGGGCTGCAGTATCCTTAGTGGTGCTATAATTCTGACAACATCTTTTCAAAAGGTCTCTAATAAGTAACAGAATAAGGAGACATAACTGTTGTTGTCCTGTTCATATAACCCTGATTTTAAATTTAAAGAAGCAATTGAATATTTTTTTCTTTAATATTTGTATCATTAGATCATCATTGGATTTAAGTCACAACTTTTCATTCTCCTCATTGTTATATAAATATTCATGGGGTGGCCACCGGGTGGCATGGAGACTTTAAGGGATGGCAGAAATATGTGCTTATTTAATTGTTAACAATCACATATATCATTATCTACTTGGAAAAGCCCCCAAATTAAGTTATTTGAATTAAAAAATGTGGCATGTTAGTAAAGCATTAAATAGAATTATGTTTTTTCATTCAACCTTCACTTAAGCCTGAGTCTAAAATGTGGCCATAACCATAACACGTTATTTTTAAATTAATGTGTTAAATTTGACGGTATTTGACACCAAACTGGGGTGCCAGCTGGGGGTGGCCACATGTAATCAGGATACAATAAAAGGGTAACTGTGATCCAAAACATATGTAATCGGATTACAGTTAGCCTACATTTAGTAAAAATGGGGATTATTTAGCATGATTACAATTTTAAAATACATCAGTTTTTCTTTACAAATACACATTTTTGATGCTAAAAATCTTCTTTCTTTCTTTTCTAGGGTCACATTGTTCTGTTGTCTTATAGAAAACACTTGCATCTATACTTCTTATTGTTCTTTCTTTTCTCTTTTATTTACATATTTGTTCTTGAGGTAATCCAAAAGTAACGTAAAGTAACCATGTTACGTTACTTTAATACTGTTATACTTGGATTAGGTTACCGATGACATTTTTTTAACAGGTAATTAGTAGATGTATCGGATTACATGTTGAAGGTATCCCTCCCAACCCTGTGCATGTCTTACTATGACAATAGGGTATATTTAACTACGGGTTTCAGTTCTACTTTGTCCATGGAAACAGTAGCATTAATCAATCAACCAATCAATAAAAGGTTTTCTACTGGTTCTAGTGAAAAGCGCTTCATCAGTAGGCATATAAGAGATCAAATAAATTAAAATAAATAATAAAAAATAATGAAATAGACAAACAAAATATAATTCACAAGTAGAATTAAAAATAAAAGTTTCGTGAAAAAGGTCTGTGTGTGTGTGTGTGTGTGTGTGTGTTTGTAGTTCTGACGCTGACCTCTAAAGGACTACAACTCCCAGGCTGGAGGAAGGACCTTAACGTCGAGCACACGAGCCTCGCACCGCAGCAGCAGCAGCTGGTGCAGCCGAGGAGGTTACTTTGTTACAGCGGAGCCACCGGAGAGGAAGCGGCCGAGGCGAAATCTCTCTCTCGGAAAAAAGTGTGAACAGTTTCGGGGGAAAAAACGTCGCGACCAGCATCGCGTTGCCAAGGTTTCGGAGGTGGCGGCCGCTTTGTGAACTTGTCACCGGATTTGAAGGTTGTGTTTTCGCCGGGGAGAGAAAAAAATTTAAAAAAAGGAGGTATTTTTTTCTTCAAAGTTGAGCCGAAGAGGAGTTCTCTCGTTCAGGATGTCGGACTGAGACAAAGGGGTCTGGGGGGCATTCCCGTCGGAGCGGTGAGTGGCACATGTAATAAAACCCTCAAACCCCCGGGATTTAAAAAAAAAAAGTTCACCCGGTTGCTGCCACGCTGGAGAAATACGAGGGTCGTGTGTGTTTGTGTGGAGGAGTTTTATCCCAGTGTGTTTTTATTTGTATAAACGAGTGTTTTCTCTCGGAGCTCGCTGGGCAGTTTTAACTTCACTGTGTGTTTCCTTTGGTCTCATGGTGCAGACGCGTTTTGAATGATCATTGATAAGCAAAGTGTAATTGTTTATTAGCGATGGTGTAGCTGATCGCAGCCGGATAATCGTGTGAGAAGTGACATTACTGGAATAAAAAGGGGGGGCTGCTCGGATCCGTTTGACCTACAGCGTGGTCGAGCGGGCATTTAACTGAGCCATTTAAATTCCCGAGCAGAGAAAATGGCCTATGCAGGGGGAAGGCAGACCTCTGGTTGAGGGATTAGTGTTTAAAAACTTTTATTTAAACGTCTGTATTTGTCTTTTTCCTTATTTAAACATTTACTTACCTGTATAAACACAAACCTGTAGTTGATTAAATCCTTTTTAATGGGTACATTTGTACAGTAACTTTAAACCACCCCTCTCCTGTATCAGATGGGTTTTCTCAGTGAATATCCTGTTTTGAAAACTATATATATTATTATATATAGCCTGTTTTATTCTAGTCGTCTCTTCATCAATGTCTGCTACTTCTGGAGGTGTTTTTAACTTTTGGACACATCTTTCTCAGCAGGTAAAACTTGATTCTTGAAGTCTCCTCTGGATGGGAAAGATGGAAAGGGAGTTGCAATGGTGGAAAGGACAGCTGGCTGCAGATATCCATCAATCCCTCCGCATCAAGGTGAGTCTGATATGTGTGAGAGCTGCTTTATTAGGATAGGAAACTAATTGTGAGCTAAAACTGGGTTGATTGTGTCTAACAAAGCCTGAAAAAATACATTAAAATCATTAAGTCTGAGACCTGAAAATAGCTTTTAACTGTTGGAAAAAGGTCTTAATGGACATTTTAGAGATGATGAAGAAGAAGAATATAATCTGTAGATTGGAAGTTATTGTTAGTTGCAGCCAATTAATTGAATTTAACAGAGAGTTTAAAGAAATTGTGATCAGAAATCAGAAATGCTTTATTGACTTGATTGATACAGTTGTTCTACTCATGTTAAAGAATAGAAACAATACTTGTATTACGATATCTAACACAGTATACAGAATAGATAAATAAAAGTAAAAATAAAAATGGAAATATAATAAGAGCCTAAGAGATATAATAAGATAATAAGAGCCTATATACAAGTACATTTTATTGATTTAATGATTAATCGAGACAAAAAACTAGCGAATACGTCAATAATGAATAATAAGACCTGCAGGTCTGTGTTGATATTCCACAGCAGCATCAAGGCGTATTATATACCACACCATATATTGAAAGTTGAGAGGAAAACATAATTACGTGGCCCTGTTGTCTATTTAAACATGATCTAAATTAGATTACATGGAGGAGTTATGGCTCATTAATTGAGAATGTCTTAATTAACCTCGAAGCGTGATCATATTTCTTCCCATGTGTCACTTTAATGGAGACATCTGTCACTTGACTGGCATCTTCGGGGCTGGGACTCTGCTGCCAGCTTTACACTGAGGGAGCTGAATACAGATTGGTTTCTTTAAAAGATACGAGGGGTTCTTGAACGTACCGTAGATTATGTGCGTGTAGAGTGAGTACTGCTGTGTATCAGATTGTGAATAATATGTTTGTGAGCCCCCTTTTTTTTTATAGTGAGTCATTTATTTACACACAGGTTTGCTCATGCTGGACGGTGTCTGACTCAGAGTGAGCTGTCAATTAGACTGAAAATCTGTACGCTGAGCTGGAAACTAAACAACACACCCACTCTTTTTTTTTTCTCATATACTATAATGAGAGAGAGAGAGAGATGGTCAGTTTAATGTTAGGTTTGATTGTCCTATATCAGCATTTTTGGTGAAATCCCCACCAACAGGCTCACCGCAGTATATACTGTGTAATGTGACGCTCTTACTGTAAATGCTGCAAAGTTACAGAATAGAAACATTTGGTTCATATGGTGAAATGTTTTTTCATTTTAATAGAAACAGATTAGAGTTGATTGCTTTATTTAGCTACCTGTATGCAACATACTGTATATTGGTCTCGCAGTAGGCCTGTCGAAACCTTAAAGAACAGCTTATCTTCCAGTTTCTAGATGTCTTTCGATCGTGAATCTCACAATTCGGATTGTTTCCATTATTGATGAATCCGCTGATTTAATTGATGAATGGTTTTGTCTATAAAATGTGTAAAAATAATGCAAAATACCTGTGAAAATTCCCCACAGTAGTGTAATTTCACACGTTTCCCATAGGCTATTAATCTATTAGAATAAAAACAGTCAATCCTAATAGTATAATATAATATAGTATAGTAGTTGGTTACTTGATTAATTGTTTCAGACGATCGTTTCATTCCTCAGAGAAACAAAGGCTGGATTTTCCTCTGCTATGACCTTACATTTCCTCCTCAGGGTCACCGCTTAAGGACCTAGAAATTGGAAAGCTCTCATGTCCCATCAGGCCTCCATTATTTCTAATGCTGAAATACAATACATTTGATTACATGGTCAATTGACAACCATCAGTATCGATAATCAAATAATCATGTAATTGAATTATAAAGTAAAAAAATTGGCCAACATTTTGTTTGTTCCTGCTTCTCAAATGTGAAGCTNTTTTTTTTTATTGATCGGATTTAAAAAAAAGTCCCAACTAACAAAAATCAGATTAATCTTTAGATTCTTTTCTGGATAAATAGATTTTTTGCTTGTTTGATAAAACACTGCAGTCCAATATATATTAAAATTAAAGAAAAGCAGTGTCTTTTTCACATTTTTAAAACATAGTAATTCATTTTTAGGGTTTTTGCTTGAATAATTACTTAAATAAACAATTGATTATCAAAATAGTTTCCAGTTAAGTTTAGAGAATCAGCTAATTGAGCAGTCACCTTTGACTCTGGGAAGTTGTATTAGTGGCATTTTTAGATATATTTGATATTTATTGGACTTAACAGATTAATTAAAAATAAAAATATCAGTTGCAGCCTTAATATTTTCTATTTTAAGATATCCAAATTGAGCACATTGCTGTTTATTTAAGACA